AAAAAATAATTAATTTTACTAAAGTTGAACCAGCGAGTATATACTGTAGAATTGATTGGATTCCAAAAATTTTGCCTTCCCTACAATCATCATCATTGCCACCCAGAAAGTGAATCGAGACTCCATGTCCATGGAATCTATAATATTTTAATCCAATGCAATTGTACTCCATGGAATCTTTGAACTTTTTTGAAATGGAGAATTTTTTTTTTTCTGTTTCTTTCGTTGAAAAACGTAATTTCCTTTCCTTATAAATTAAATTGAAACGAATGAATTGAGTTAATTATTTTTTATTCAGAAAAATTCATCTCTTTCTAAGGGAAATATTGTCACTTATTGAAAGATTATCAAAATGAAAACAAACCCATTACAGTTTTTGGAGCAAATAGGATGCATCCTTATAATTTAAAAATCGCTTGATTTAATATATTATATAATATATTTATAAAAAAATTTGTTATTTTTTTAATTTAAAATTAAAAATAAATAAATATAAAGGTGTAATTATATATATAACATATAAAAATAAATTAAATAAATTAATTTAATTAGTATTAACTCATTAAAAAGTAAAAACTTAAATTCATTTAGCCCGGCGGGTTAGACGGGTTAGGCGGTTTCAGCGGGTTGAGCGGGCACCAGCGGGTCAAAACGGGTGAACTTGTAAAATGGGTTAAGGTATTGGCTCGGCCCGTTTTAAAGCCCGGGTCCGGTTCAACCGGTTCAATCAGCCGGGCCGGGCCGGGCCGGGTCCAAAAACACTGGATAGGATGGCAATTCTCAGTGGACCTCATTGAATATGTCATTTTACAAACTCTGCAATATTCTTGTAGATATTCTTCACTCATTGTCATTTTTGACAAGGTGTCGATTATTGTAGCTTTTTTTTCCTTTCTTTTCTAAGTAATCAAGTTGAAATTTATGGCTTTCGGTATTTTGAATAGCCGGCTTTTCAGCTTGAGACACTGATATTTCTGAGGGAGAGTGTTTGATATAATAATCAAACTTCCCTGAACTTTCTCCAAGTAACCTTACTGAAGGGTCCCCTTGTTCGAATTTTTCTTTTAGCTCTTGTTGGGAGCTTTTCTTTGCCATCTAGCTAGATTCTTTAGAGTTGATTGTGACAGTAGTGATTACTCTAGAACTTATTAATTTTTCTATCAGCTTTTTGACTTCTTCAAGGGCATCTTGTCCCTTATTTGATAGCTCATGGCCTTTAATAATTTTTTCTTGGCCTTCATCCATAAGGTTATGCCTTTCATCAATTATTTCTTAGCCTTCAATCATTTTTTCTTGCCCTTCTCTTATTTGGCTATTGCCCTCAATGAGTATCTCTTGACCTTTGAGAATAAGGTCTTTCCCTTTATTTTGGAGTTTCAGGATTGCATCCATTAGGTCCTTCTCTGCTTAAGAAATCTACAAGACAATTATTAGTTCCTTTGACATGTTCAATTTCAAAACCATATTCTGCAAAGAAAGTTTGCCATCTATTTAACCTTTTTCTGGTGTTAAAGGTAATTTATTAAAAATAAATCCTTTAACTTGAGTATTGTCAGTTCTAACCTTAAAATGTTTTAGTAATAGGAAGAAACTGAACTTTTTTATTCCATTTTTAATAGTCAATAATTCTTTATGATTCGAATGATATCTCGTTTCTATGTCTTTAAATGTACCACTAGAATATCTACAAATTTTTTCTTGAGAATTTTTTAAAGCGGCTCCCCAATAAAAATCTAAGGCATTACATTCTAAAATTAACTTTTCATCTTCTTTAGGCAATTGTAACCTAGGAAGGTTTTTGCAATAGTCTTTTATTCTTTTCACATGATTAGTGTGATAAATTTCTCATTGTTGATTTTCCTTTTTCCTGAGCAACTTTTGCAAAAGATGTCTTAATTGAGCTAGGTTTTGAATAAACTGCTCTGCATAATTGAGTATTCCTAAAAACCTTTGAATTTGTTCTTTAGATTCTAGTTTATCTGGGAACATCAAAATCTTTTCACTAATGTGAGGTTGTAATTCTATTCCTATGGAATCTATTGTTAGTCCAAGGAATTCAATTTTGGTTTTTCCTATCTTTGCTTTTTTTCTTTTTTTTTTTTCAGAGAGTAATATTCCATGTTTCTTGCATAAATATGCAAATTTCTTAAGATGATACAAATATTCTT